CATCAACCCTGGTAGAACGGCAGCACCAAAGAGGAAGACCCTTCACAAGATGGATTGACACAGGGATTGCAACGTACAGACAATATGAGGATGGCCAGGACTGGACAGCATTATGTTCTGTTGTGCACAGATTCATGATGAGTCAGAACCAAACAGACGACACCTAACAACAAGCTGGAACCTGAATTCATAATACTGGGTTTTACTTAGGGTCTCCTGTATATTGTAGTTATTAGAGTTTAAATGTATTCATTTAAACCTGTCTCTATTTTTTTTAGCTAGGAAAGTGCCTTTATGTGTTATATTAATTCAAAACAGTTCATAGAGAAGACAATTCGCATACATTTCCAACTAGAAAAAGCATTTGGCTCGATTGGGTATCTAAAAAGGAGACCTGGTGGCTCAGTGCTCAGCTGTGAATTGAAAGGTAGATGGTTGGAATCCAGCAGCCATCGCACTGAAGAACGAGGTGGCCTTCTAGCCCAGAAAGAGCACAGCCTAGGAACCCTTACGGGGCAGCTCTACTCTGTCCTTATCGGCTGCTGAGTCGGAATCTACTTAGCAGTGGTGAGTTGGTTAGCTTGTGTGCTTAATAAAATAGCAAGTAAAGATGAAGTCAGGTTTTGTAAAGTTTGCTGATAAGGCCTACAAATGAAGAAAACTTTAAAGTGCCATAAGAGATACACTTATTCAATACCATCTCACAAAGTTTATCATGAAAACTTGTCATCCTAAAACTGGATAATACTGCCATCTTATGGCCAATATGACTTGAATATGTTTTGTTTGTTTGAATCCTTTTATCCACCCCCCCCACCCCCACTCCCCGCACTACGCAGCACCGCCACCGCCGCCCCCAAGGCAATGTACCAGCAAGAGTAGGAATTTTTTTTTCAGTATTGGAAAAGGAAGGCTGTGTTTCCAAGATGGGACAAGCTACCTTCATAAGCAACTAAAACAACATATATCTTTGTGTGAGTGTCCCTTTAAAACAATTGCATAAATATTTTTATTAAGAAAAAAATACTACTAGCCTTCAACTGAGGTGAAGTTTCCTGAGCCAAAATTAAAAAGAAACGCATGACCCAGTTGTATATTGCTTAACTACATTTTCCAACTTTATTCTTTTAAAGGCATCAACTGGAAATAATGTGCTTCCTTCTCTAGGTAATAAAACCTCTTATTCCCATAACAAATCATGCAAAATGTTTGATTTTGTCAAGCAAATAGCAAAATTCCCTTACTATTTTTTCTGACAATTTAG